CATTTTGAATTTATGCACTACCTCAAACTGTATTTTCAAGCGTAGACAGGGTTTAAGCACTCAGAGGCTGACTTTTAATTAGCACAGCTGACAGCACCATCCCAGAGCTGGTTTATCTTAATGTCAAAAGCTAAACTTCATTAAGTTTTCTAAGCAGCATAAGAAAATGCAAATAAGATCGAGCCCCTTAAAAGGCTTGTGACCGCTCTTGTCACTTTTATTGCGGATATGATTTTCACTCATAATCCCATTGGCTTCCCCTCATTGCTGTGTGTGTCGGCTGTGTTCCCAGCTTGGCACCATACCCACATATTTCAGTGGTTCATCAGTGCCTCACCATGAGGATGGCAGAAGGTGACAGTTTTGTTTAGAGCAATGTACAGCCACAGCCCCAAGCCATCCTGAAGCTGGATGCAGTTGAAAGGAGCCAAATGCCTTTCCCAGCACAGCACTGAAACACCTCCTGCTGACACTGTGATCCTCCAGTCCTAGAGTCCACGTGTTGCAGGCATTCAGGTTCCTTCAGCTTGGAAAATGAGCAAAATAAGTGTGTCTGTGCCTGACAGTGTGGTCTTGGACTCCTTTGTTTTCAGTGTTATTCAGCAAGTAGCAGCTGGTTTATCCAGCACCCCAAAGACTAGAGTGGCTGCAAGTGACCCAGGCCATATGCAGAACACACAAGACTGCAGCAAAAGCAGGGCATTGCCGCAGCTTGGAAATTAAAGGCTGCTGGTGACTTTCTGCAGCTGGAAAACACGGCTTTTCTCTTTTATTCTTTATCTGGATCTGCACTACAACTTGTTTCTCTTTGCCTGTAAGCAACACTTATTGGGTTTAAAAAAAAAAACAAAAACAACAATCAAGAAATACAGTGCCAAATATCTCTTGATTTAGTAGGAAGTGGCAGATTCTTACTGGCATTTCCCCACCTCACAAGTACTCTTTTTTCAATCTCAGGACTGCTGTGAAAGGCAGTATCAAAGTTTTGGAGCTGGCCCAGCTCCAGGGAATAACAAGGCCAGAAGGAAAATCTATTTTGGAGGATAAGGAGGGAGTTGTAAAGGAAATGAAGTCAGTTTATTATTAAAAAAAAAAAAAAAAAAAAGGTAGAAGGATGTAATGCGTTTGTGTTCAACAATGATTTTATTACAAATGTGATGCGCACTGACAGTATGTTAAATTTCGTTGTCAGCAGGGGACAACACGGAACAATTTGTGGCAAAAGGCAACAGATGCGATTCTGTCTGCAGCTTCACACATCTGCTCTGCAAGGCAGTGCTCCTCCAATAAGTCTCTAGGAGGGATCCAATAAAAATGATATAAAATTTTATTGTGTTAGTGGCACTAGTTATTAGAGTGAAGAACAGAAAGCTTACCCAAGGGCTGAACCTTTCCTGTGTTTTAGTGCAGAGTAAATGATGAGGCTGTTGCCGGTAACAGCAATACTACAGTGGGAGAAGGTAAATTCATTTTGGAGTGCTTAGCACGCTGCTGGGGATGGCTTAAAAGCGGAGTGGGAAAGCTAATAAAAGAGTAATAGGCACCAACACATCAGGAAGGATAGAAATGAAATGTTGAGGCAGTATTTAAATAAAAATAACCGAGGACTTGGCACTTCTGGTGGCCGAGCATTGCAAATCCCAGATTCAGGACCGGGATAACAATGAAGAGCGGTTCAAAGGAGATTAGGATGAAGGCTGGGAGCGATGCTTTGGAGCTGCAGCCTGCCCAGCGCTGAGCCGCCAGCTCCCTCTGTGCAGGGAAGGGCCCTCACAGCAGCCATCACCTGTGCCTGTGCTGCCTGGGGTGGATTGCTCCTGTTTCTGAGGGGAAGGAGCTGACAGGTGCTGGAGCTGGGACCACTGAGGGAGGGAAGAGGAGGCGCCATATTGGGAGGAGCTGCCAGCCTGGCAGGAAATGGCTGCCGTTGTCTCACCTCAGGTCACCTCATCCTCTCCAGAGCCTTCGCTGACCGATTCAGGTCACACTTTGACCCATTAAAGCAGTAGATTCTGCATTTTGGTATGCTGTGGACTTTTCTGGTACTACGTAACTAAGAAATCCCATATAACAGCACCTTCTTTTACAGAGTATTTGGAGTGATTTGAGAGCAATCACCACTGTTCTCTCTCTTCTGCCTTCCCTGTGTGTTTACAGTACTGAGACGCTCCATAAAATCTTCCTGAACTTCCTCAGCATGGGGATTAACCATATCTTTGGGTAAATCATATTTTTCAGCAGGATATTTCATCAGCAGTTTAGGCATCTCCAAGTGCTGACTGAACAATCTCTCTCACAGCAGTATGGCAGTATGGATGCCGCAGTAAGGACAGTGGTTTCCCCTCTGCTCACACGTCCTTCATGAAATGTAAATAACTGCAACAATCTGAAACTTGTTAATTATATTTGAGAATAAATCCACACTAAAACCTGACAAACTAAAAAAAAATAAATCATCAGGACCTTTACCTGAAACAAAGTAATTCTGTGCTTTAGAAATGAAAATCAAATTCTGTTTGAAGAAGAACTCTGAAACATTTTATCGTGGTTTAATTTGTCCGAGACAGTGCATCATTAAATTTTTGAAATGACCTGTATGAAATGTAGTTCCTCTGTGCAGGCTGACGTGTTTCACCAGTTGGTGCAGTAATGGTGTAAATGCTTTGGTTTAGTCACTCAAGCCAAATGATGCAATACCAGTTCACCTAACAGGAGGCAGCATTTTTTAAGCTCGCTTCCTGAACGGAACCCAGCAGTTTCAGAGAGAACAAAACCTTTGACTGCAAGGATCTTTTTCCAGTGTAAATTAATTTCAGAGGAATACTCCTGAGCCATTTCAAATTCCAGCAACAACTTCAAAAGACCAGTATTTTACAAACTCACATGCTAGTGAGACCAAACAGTGCTGTGTAGTAGTTGTGACGTTTTTGTTTGCTTGTTTGTTTGTTTTTCTGAATAAATAAATTATCAGTTAGAGCTGGACTGGAGGAAGCAAACTTTTCAACATTGATCTTCTGTTGGTCAGTTAGGAAAAGTTTGGGGAAATGCATTGCCAGGAAAATATATTATTGATTATTTTAGAATAAAATTAGCCAACAGAATAACTAGAGAAATAAAATAAGTCAATATTTAAGAAAAAATTTGAGTTCTGCATAGGAAAAAGCCACTGGCAAAAATACTGTGGTGGTAAATAAGTTTAATAAATTTAGTGTTTCCTATGCATTTGTGGCCCATTCCCTTATTTTCTCAAAATATTGCACAATAAACTGGTGTAGCCCCAGAAAGCAGCTTATTTGACAGGCTACCTGAACAAATGTAGAACATAAATGACAGTCAGTGTAAGGAGTCAGAGTAAGGAGCCACAGTCCTTATCAGCTAAGATTTTGAGCCTTAAAACAGAAGGGAAGCAAAATATATATATATATATATATATATATATATATACACACATATGGGGGAGGAATAGGGGGGAAGGCCATTGGAATCTTAAGTTTATAAATTAGTATTTGGTCTGTTCTGGCTCTGTTTGCTAATTGCTGGGAATGAGCTAACTGAAACGCTTGGATGCCCTTAGCACATCAGGGCATTCTTGTTCAGTAACGTGGAACAAATTTCTGGTAGGCTATGGGTTCAGATAAATACAACTGGCATAATTTTCAGCTAGTATAAATGTATGTTGCCTTACTTAGATAACCGAGTTCATGGATTTATGAGACGATGACTACTTATTTTCACTTTGTGTTAGAAATCAAGCTGAAAATCAGGTTAATAATTCTAAATGGGTCTTTTTTTTTCCCTCAGCTCCCAGTCATTCATTCATGCCTAAAAAAATGTTTTCTTTGATCAGAGGACTGTATCAGAACAAAGTGTATTCTTTTCATATTTGCTCTGTGATTCTGAAATCGCTCTCACATCAGTTTACAGTTTTCATGGTTCAGGGACACCCTTGCAGAAAAACACTTGATGGGCATCTTGCAGAAATCCTGTTAGCAGAAAGCAATATAATGAATAAGCCCATTTTGGAGACCATAAAGTGCTATCATCCATAAGAATAATCCTGAATAAACTGTCTCGTGCCCTGAAGCCCACACTGTTCACAGTGAAGAACATGCATATATTAAATTAAAGGTATGATATACACATATATATTTTTAACTCAGTTAAATGCATTAAATCCAGTTGCTTGCTTTACCTACTGTCAGCATACGGCTTCAGGCATCCTGGCAATGTAATGGCCATGTATAACTCCATCAGCTATTGTTCTGTTGCAGATGACAGCACAGCTTTGCATTAATATCAAGTGATTATTAACAACGCTAATATATTCATTTGTAGAGTTAGAGGTTATCATTTTTTAATTCTGTAGTCAGAGTATTTTCTACACTTCCTTGATTAATATCACATTTGGAAACAGCTGGCCGGTGGTGTGTCAGAAAAGAAAACAAGTATTTTATGTCTGTGTTAAGTTCGGCCCTTGTGTTTCTCTGCTTGGATCCTGAACCATAGCTTTATAGCTAGAGCATGGCTTAGCAACCAAGAGATTAACAGAAAGAACATTGTGCATGTGTGCTGGCACACAATATGGCTGATCTTTTGGAGATAATAAAATAAGCTCAAGAGATGCAGGAAAGCTCTATATTAATGGGAAAAACCAAATACCAAAACCTTACTGTTTTCTTACAAAATGTCCAAACGTGTTTGACATAAGATATTTTCATTTTCCACCTGCAATTTGATGGCAACCAAAAGCCCTGAGTTCTTGATGAAAATGGGGAAAAAGCAACCAGAAAAGGTCATATCTGAAAATTATTTCTCCCATTTTCTCTTTGACTAACCTGTACTGTATATTACTCCTATTGAAGCTTAGCAATGTATGTAGCATCTCAAACACCTATAGCAAACAAGAATATTAAAACAATGCTGGAAATGTTTCAAAAAGGACTTATCTAGTTTGTTTGTTTTTCTGAATAAATAAATCCTGTACTCTGTCTTTCCTGCAGGTATTAGAAGTTAGAGATGGATGGATTTACTTGACTTTCTCAAAGAGGAAATGCTGCTCGGCCAAAACCAACTTTCTGATGACAACAGCAGGACCAAAAATTTGACTCAGGTGATTTTTTGTTGCCCACATAAACAATTACCCTGTGTGAAAGAGGAAGCCTATATCTCTCTTTCATCATTCCTGACTTACTAGGCTCAGCCACATGGATAAAGAGGAAATGATAGCCTGAAACCAATCAGTGGGACAGCAGGTTTCAGAACTTAAACAAGATAAGGAATATTTGAAAACACACACACAAAATCAATGAATTTCTCAGTGATTTTCAAAAACAGACTCAGGTGTGATTACATAAGTGGTAAGTCATAAATGTGTTAAAGTATTGCAAAACGGCCTCAAAGACCAGCAAAAGTTTCTGCCCTATTTATAGAATTATTCTGTAATCAATATCAATGTGAAATTGTACTGTGTATAGCATGAGGCCATATTGTAGAAGTCTGGTGGCTTATGTGAGCCACAAATTGCTCCCAGGTGAAAGAGCCTTGCAAAGATAGACCATTAAAATTACCCAAACTTACTAAGGAAATGCAGAAAGCTATGCTTTCAGGCATAGAGACATTTATATCAACAAGCCAGCTGGCTGAGAATACATTGTTTACACTTTTAAATTGATGGCTATTTGAGGTGATGTTTCTTTTTGTGTCATGCAGTCATTATGAAAAGGAGAGTATTAATTCCCAGAATATTTATACACTATTTACAAAAGATATACTAAGGCCAAGAAGGAGAGTTTTCAAAAACAGCAGACTGACCTGAGCTAAGACAAGTCATGATAATAAGCCTTTTTAGTATCCTTTGAAAATCACAGCCAAAAGGTTTTGTTTTGCTCTATGCACAGACAGGAGCACCAACATGAGAGAGCATGGGTGTCCAACCCTGCCAAGGGATGCAGCTTCTGTGACAAAACTCAACTTAAGGAACCAGAGGGGCTGTGAAATAAAGTAATAAAGAACCAAATGAATTATTTGGTATCTGAGAAGTATATTTAGGAGTAATAGTTGCAAATTTCCCTGTCAAAATCCTATGTAGGACCACCAGCATACACAACCACTCTTATTGGTGGCTACCAAACCACAGTCAACTTCTGTGGCCTAGCAATGGTTCTAGCCCTCCCTCTGGTCTCTGGATTTGATTCCCAATCTGTTTATTTATATTCCTCTGTGATTATCAGTGCTCGCCAGGACAGGCACAGGTTACAAGAAACCAGAGAGACAGGCAAGTATTCTGGGTAGCATATTGGTGAATGAGATAAAATTGGTAAACCTGGTGCTTCTGAGGACATGTAGTTTGGAGATGGGACATTCAGCTCCTATAAATGGTTTCCTAAATGTTTCTTATAAATCCCCTGTCTAAAATGGTAAGATCTCAAAATTCTCTGGGATTTATAGCAGCTTAATAACCATAATAAATGACTGTATTAACACTGAGAGAACACGCGTAGCATAATTCATTGATTTTGTTCAAAGCTAGATGAAAATGAACAGTAGAAGAAGGAAAACATCTATATTAACCCCGTGGGAGCTCCAGTATTAATTGGCACATAATCAGGTACAGCTGCTAATAGTCACGTAGTTCTTTAAATCAACACATACAGCACTGCCAGTGTAGTCTTAAGAGTTAGAGATCAGGGAGTATGCAAACGTTCTTTGAAATCTTGTTCAGGTTGCTGGGTGAAAGTCATATTTTCTTATTAAGCTTACAAGTTGCTAAACCTAGATTCTGTTTTTGGCAAGATCAGATAATGTTTGAATTCCCTTATATTGTGTAAACCATCTCTTCCTCTACTTGTATGTAACTGAATTATATATCAGATGATGTTTTTTTTTCCCTCTGTTTTGTATAATGATAATACCAGTCTTCAGAGCAGCTAGTCTTAATGGGATATTTCAGGTTATTTACGGAATCTTATTTTTCTGGATATTGTTGTGTTCTGGTGAAACAATTTAGCTGGAGCTGCTACTGGGCCATATGGCACAGGCAAATTCAAATATGAAAGTAAATGTAAGAATGCAAATTGAGCGTACATCTACAAAGAATTAAGCTCTTGATTACTACCTTGGAAGCAGTAACACACACAGTAAAAAGAAACAAAAAGAAACAGCAAAGAAAAAAAAAAAAAACAAACATTTCCAAAGCTGTAAGAAACCTATAGTGAGTAACAACTCTTGGCTGAGCTATCACTTAGGGCTTTTCTTTCAGCAATCACAGAATGGATCAAAGTCAAGAGGCCAGTTCAGCAGAATTCTCCTTCCACGGGGCTGGCTTTTTGAGCACACATTATTCTGGGGATTCCATTAACCTTAATATTCATAGGGTTCCTTAATTCTACTAAATGCAAACAAAGCTCCAAAGACCTCTCTGGGGTCTCTTGCTCTCCTGCAGACTTGACGTGGCTGTTACACGATCACATAAGCATTAATGAGGTATCTTTAACATGAAGTACGACAGCTCTGCTTTGTGGGAAAAGTTGTTGGAGTATTGAGCCTTTCTTGTTAGGTCAACTGAACTGCATTTAGAAATGTTTGTGTATTTTTTTTAATCCCTAAAGACTGCTTGTGTGACTCGTGTCTTTTGTCTTCATGACCCTTTTATAGTGACCACAGAAGGCATTATGAAACATTAGTCATTTTAGGGTTCGTTCTGCCAAATAGAAATATGCCAGGGTATTTATTGCTTTACGAATGGCTTTTGAGATGCAGAAGATCCTTTCTTGCAATCATTTAAAGCTGTGACAGTTTTCATGTGTGCCTTTACAAAGCTAATCAGCAGCTGCATTTGTTACTTATCCCCAAAATACCGTTTTCCATCTTGGCTATGTTCCTCTTATGAATATTCATAAATGTGATATGAATTAAGTGTGAGAAATGTGCTCTTATTTGAGGTGCTTCCTTCTGTTCATGTCTATAGCATGCTGACTCTCTGATCTTCCTAAAGAAAAGGATAAATGAGTAAACAGACGTGTAAAAGCTAGCGCTGGGTGTTGCCTGGCGACTAATAGCTGTCACAGCCAAATTAGCCAAGCTGCTCTGGAGACACAGGTGGTTAGCAAACAGGGACCTGAGAAGCAGGAAAGAGCAAGGAGGAGACATTAGCTGCATTCAGGAGAGGAGGCAAAAGTGGAACACTTAGGGAAACATGGGGTAAAGTTCCTGAGGTCATCTGTGCTGGTTTTATTTGTTCATGCCTTTTCTGTTACAATAAGAAATAGGTGGTAGTGTTTGTCATTTTTTGTTTTTTTTTTTTATTGCCCACATTTTTGTCTTTGGCTGAGCCTGTAGTTTGTGTTCTCTGCTAGAAGCATGAAGGATTTGAACACAGGTGTTGTGAGTTTGTTCCAAATGTGTTGTTTGCCTGAGTAGAGCTTGCTCTGTTTTGTGCATTTCAAAGGTAAGCACACAGTAAAGAGTGTAGGGAGTGAAATCAAAACTGATGCAATGAAGTTCCATCCCCACACAATTTTTCCACTTCCGATACAACATGTAGATGTAGCATTTAGGGACATGGTAGAGTGAGTAACATTGGTGGTAGGTGGATGGTTGGACTAGATGATCTCAGAGCTTTTTTCCAATCTTAATGATTCTAGGATAAGGTGCCTTATACAGAACCTCATGCTGAGGTTGCTTATTGGGCATGGCTGTTTTGTGATTCTCTACAAGCTTATTTGGGGGAAAATTACAGGTATTGGAGAAATCCCTGTACCTTGGAAGACATACTTGGAAATAGCTGCTGCTTTTACTAGAAAGGATCTATGTACTTGTACCAGAAATTCTGAGTCATGGCCTGATCCAGTGATTGAGCACCTGGTGGGAAGGCAGGGCCAACCCAGTGGAGCTCAGGTGCATGCAATTATGCAATGCAGCTGTGTGACCAGAAGGGTTGGAGCCAGGATCCACCCCTTCCCAGAACTCATTTAAGGGTTGGCAGTAAAGGTGAGGGGGTCTTTCTGTAGATTTCTGCTGCTGGAGGCTTTTCGAAGGTAAGTAGCTATTTTATTTTTATTTTGTTTTATTTCTGTGACTATTGCTTTTGTATTTGAGCAGCTCTGCGCTTACTGTAGCCTGGGACCTTGCTGCTCTGCTGTCATTATTGTACTTCCCATTGTGTTGCACTACTTAACTTTGTTTTGTAGTCTGCTATGAATGCCATTTCCATTTTAAAGTATGTAGTACCTTCTTACTTATTTGTATAGCAACTCTATAAAAGTGCTTTTCTTCTCTAATCAAGGGAACAGGATTGCGGCTTTTCATTGGGAGGAAAAGTAAGGCGTGAGAAAGTGAAATATAAAGCTAGGAAAATCTAGGAAGAATGAGAATAGGATGTAAGAGAGTTACTGAAAATACGGACTAAGGAAGTGTGTGGAGATAACTGTCCTAAACTTGTGATTGTGCATTAAGTTCTTCATATTTTTAAAATGTTTTTGCTCAGGTTGTGTTTCAAGCTTATTTGATTTCTGCTTGTTTTTCACTTTTTAAAAATGCTGTGCAAAGTAAACGTACTCTACCAAAAATAGAACGCAACTCGACTGTGGAGTACTGCTGGTGATCTCACAAGAAAGTGAAGCGTGGGTTGTTTTTGCATATCTCTTTTTATTTAATGCGTAGTCAGTGTTAACCTTTTACCATATGTGAAGAATAAGAAGTGATCGATACAAAGCCGGATATTTGCCAAGGAGTGATTATTTTCTTTTTTTTTTTTTAAGGTGAAGAACGTAATAGTATAATTCTTTCAAATGTCTGTCTTAAACTTTAGCCTGTGTTGTTTGTAGGGAAAAAATGTGTAAATATTATTTCTTTTTGCTCTTCTAGAATTAGTGAGAGCTGAAAGTCTGATTGCCTTTGGAGTTGCTGGAGACTTCTGGAGATGTACATCGTGAGTTCATACGGTTTTTCTGAGGGTAAGAATGGCTACTATGCTTTCTTTGGGATGGAAGGAGAGACTGGGGGCTTCAGGTGACCTTAAGGGATTTCTATGAGTCTGTGCTTCGAGCGTATTCAAGTTGGGCTGTAAGAAGAAGGGCTGTAATCACTCAGAAGCTCAGATCCAGTGTCACTTTTAAGTAATCAGGCCTTTTTACCTCTGAACTGCTACGGTGGTTTTTAAAGCTTCTTACTGCAGTTGAAGTCAAACTGTTTGAGCAGAAGATGAAAGCTTGTGGGTTTTGTTTTTTCCCAAGAACTTGATGTACTTGGTAAAGGTATGAGCTGTGGTTGATACAGGTGATGCCATGATAAGATGAGAAGCTTAGTATATTTAAGACCTTCACATAGGCTCAAACATGGGAAGCGTGTTGGAGAGAATTAATTCTAGTCCTGTTACAAAATCGTGGGAGATTGGTATTGAATGTTAAAGCAATAGATATAACATGAACCCAAGGCATCATTGGAAGCAACGGAATTGGATGTGCTGTTTTGAATTGTTGCAGCAGTCTCACTGTTGGAATGTGTGCCTGTGGGTCGGGCTGTCTGGTAACTGACACAGAAGTAGAGTTTCACTGTTTCTGACATCCTAAAGTTTTGGGACTCCAATAATTTAGGGCTTTATTTTTTTAGTAGCTGAATATGTGTGTTATACAATTTGTATGAATTGAACATAATGCTTTGCTCTCATGCACTAGCAAGTTTGTGAATATAGGAATATAGTTTTCCTGTTTGCTTGTGAACAGTCTGGCTGTTTCAGATTACATCTGTATGGTGAGATTTTGTACTATAAAACTAGAGATTCTCTCTGATGTATGCTACCAGGTGGTAGGTTGGTTATTTTTTTTTTTTTGTCTCATTCCTGTCTTTCTGCTATGATCCTCTGTTGAAAAGGAATATTAAAATAGGATCACATTCTGTATGCGCTTTTCTGTAACCAATGAAAAGTAAGCATTTCCGTTTACTCTGTACTCATCTTGCTACCCAGAAAGTGTATTTCTGATTAATTTATCTCTTTCAGGTCGATTAAAAACCTATAACTTCTGCTTGCCCATGAAACCCTCAATATGAATCCACTGGAAAGGAAGGGGAGGGTAATTAATAAAACCTGTTTTCTGTTGCTGCAGATGGGAAGCAGACAATGTTTGCTTTTGCTTGCTGTCCCTGAGCTGGTGGCCCTGCTAGTCAGCAGCCTGTGGCATGTAAAATATGTGTATATGGTTTCATGAGAGTTTCTGACAGATAAACTGAAATGGGAGATGTTCCTGATGAAAGGAAAATGGCCGAGGAACTTTTTTCTCTGGGTTCCACTTTATTCTTTCTGTCTCAGTTCCACCTCACCTAGCATGTTATGTTAATCACTCGGACAGCACCATTTTCCTTGCACCCACCAGCCTGCGAGTTTCTCTTTCCACCTGCATTTTAGAGATTAGTTTCATGTTATGATCTGCCAAAGTAGCCTATCTAACACCTACCTGCTGCAATTGCAGTAGCAGTTTCACATTGCAGACAAAATCCCATCAGAGCTGGAAATTGTTTCCTTTATGTGAGTGGCAAGGCAATTACTGAGCTGAGTGACATGGGTAGAGAAGTGCATTTACACTAGAAGCTATTGCTATAGCAGAAACTTCTGGCAGGAAAGCAGTGACTGACTGACATCCTTTGGCTTATTATTATGGGCCTTGCATAAATGAAGTAGGAGCAATGACTGTTACTGCACTTCTAATCAACGAAGTGTTATGCCAGTAATTAGGTTTCTACTAACAGCTCCTTTCTAGCATTAATTGGAGGAGGATATGCAGATTGCTGGTTAATAATAGAACAGTTATAGTTCTATAATCACTTTTTTTGATGTTCATCAGTTTGTTTGATTGCTTGTGTGGCAAACATTTGATCCTGCATGCGTCTATTTAGCCATCAGATGCGTTTTATAAACCTCATTGTTTATCAAGTTAGTGACATCTTAAAGTGCTGAAACTTCAGAGCCTAATAGCAGCAAATATAGAACTTTACTTTGCAATATACGCAGAGTGGGTCCTTTCAAAGAAAGCTCCAGATTGTCCAAACCCCATATGGATGTCAGGGATGGGAACAGTGTGAGCTGTGTGCTGAACCTATTTTAAACTCCCACTCGTGATTTCCAAATACAGCACTCTGTCAGAGAGCAGGCAGTTTTTGGAACTACAGTACTCGCTTAAATAAAGCTCCAGGAATCTATTTTGGCAAAAGCATTAATTATGATTATTTTACCTGCCTATGGTGATAAAACTAAAATTGGAGCCTTATGGATTGTTGTAATTTAATGTAGATCATATGTATAATATTTCCTGTCCAAAGAATCCAGAAAGCAGAGATTGTTTCTTCTGTAAAAATGGGAGGGCTCTAGGAGGGAGAAAATATTCACTTACTGCATAATGACAGATGCATTCTGTCATTCAGTGTCTCTTGCAGGCTGTTTTATGGCCCTGGTGACCAGAAAAGCCAAACCTGAATGAACTTTCCCCAACCTTTTGGTCAGTGTTGCTTGCTTGAAATCAGTTCTGCATTAACACAGCTTTCAATTTGTTCTGCCCCTCCTCATTTGCAGCTGTCTGGAAGATGCTATCTGGCCATACGTTAACAGACTGTTAAAGGGACCAAATATCTATAGACACTATGCCTGACTTTTAGTGAACATATCAGCCTGCTGTTGTTGATGCTATGTAGTCACAAACCTGTCCTCAGAATTTTTGTAAAATGAGAGAAGTTATCCAGCAGAGAGGCAGCCAGTTCTTTTGCAAAATAAACCTGTGTTATTAGGCTTAGCTAAGCTGCTTTTTGCACGTCACACGGAAGAAAAAGTATGTGGGAACAGTCATAACACAGGAGTATGAACAAAGAATTCAACAGAAGTTCACACGTATGTTTGATTTTATGCCAGAGTGAAATATGATTTCATTTTTCATGGCAACTAATTTCAGGTTTATATGTGAGGCCTCTAGATCTGAATTCATTAGGTGGCCATCATGTATGGAAGTTAGCTGGTTTGAAATATTGTGCCTTTGTGATATAAGATTTCTGAATGCTGTCCTCTAGTCTCCATATCCAGTAAGTAAAATTACATCTTGTTTGATTCTGTAATATTCATACCAGATAACTGTATAAACTTGTGGCTTGTATTTCAATCAGTTTCTTGCAGTGCCCTTTGCTGGAGGGAGTAAGGGAGAAGTCAAGTAGCTGCAGACAGAAAACTAGACTTGAAGTAAGCCACGACATTGTAAGAGTCTGCTCTTTTCTGCTTGCGTTTATTTGTGTGGGTTTTTTCAGCAAACGTTAAATTTGTTCAAATTCCTGTTTGAATTTGCACCACTAGAATATGCCACGTGAAATAATGGATTGATAGTAGGTTCAGAGAGGCCTCTTCCTTGAGGGCCAGTTGCTTGTAAGTAGCTCATAATTGAGTTTGTAAACAGTGTAAATGCCCACATTGCTTCTTTTTTGGAGGTACTCTGTGTGGCTGGGATGGTGATCTGATAACCTGATGTAAGGGAGAATCTTTTGTACAAGTTGTGCCTTGATAAATCAAGAGTAATGCCTTTCAAAAGCTGAAGTCCATTTCCATGTCCCATTGTGTCCTACCTGCTTCAATGCCCACTTGTGTAACGCTTCTGTTTTCTCAGCTGATACTTGAAGATTGAATGTGATTACATAGGTACATGTGTTTGGTGTGGGTACTCATCTTCAAAAACACTTGTCTGGCACACAAGAGCAAATGTATAGAAAACATGAACTGCAAGCAGAGACTCAGCCTCTCAGAAGAATGCATATGCAGGAAATACTGTCAACACACTTGAGATAGACCTGAGAGAGAGGGTTACTAGGTTTGTCTGTACTTCACATCTTATTTAATCTTTTCTTGAATAAAGCAAAGTGACAGGAACCTCCAGCTATCTTCAAAAAGGCTTCCAACTATGGGATACTGCTTATTCTAACTTCATTTGAAATAGTTGCTTACTTTAAAAAAGAGAAAAAAATCATTTTTCAGGATACATACTGGGCATGGAAGACTTGCTTTTTTTTTTTTTTAACTCTGATTTCATCTGTCACATCAATATATTCCTATAGCGTTTGAATAGTGGAAGTACAAAAGTTTCTGAGTAATATAGTAGGGGGAATGTGCATTTGGAACTTCAGAAAGGAAAGTGACATCCAAGAAGCTCATGGTGCTTCCCTGTCCTTAACACTGGCAGTCTTGAAGTCTAAAACTTCTTTGTATCTTTCCTGCTATAATTCAAGTTTCTTCCTTCTCTGATCCACCATTCTGATACCATTCTTTTGGCAGTTCTTTATTTGAAGAGTATTGCTATCTTCTCCTGCCTTATTTTTTTCTTTATGATCAAATCCTGTTCTGTAGCTTGTGTTTTCTAGGTTTCTGATTATTTTCCTGACTCTCCCTTGAGCTCTGTCTAGTTGAGCTATGTTCTCAGGATCGTAATACTTGAATCTAAAGCTGTCAGACACCTTAGCAGATTGGTTGCAAAAGTATGTAAATGCAGTATGTACTTATAAAGAGACTTAAATCACTGCTTAGGTGAAATTCATTTGTTTGTCTAACAGCTTTTGATCTGCAGCGCAGCTCATGGCTGTGCTCACATCATGTAGATTCAGATGATGCTGAATAGTATTTCCGGAGCTTGTTTTACCAGCATTGTTGTTCCTGTAAGATCACAGTGACTGAAATCTTTGTAATCTCTAAAGTAATATCCTCAAAGATAGGAAAGTACTGTTCTCAGAAATCAAGTTACTTGAGAATCTGAAACTTAGAGATATCAGAATTCGTTCCTAGTATTGTCAGGGTGAGAGACCACTACCTTAAGAGGAGAGTTCAGCCTGTTTGCTAGGGTGTATTAAAAGAACCTTAAATTACAGTCCTAGCTGAAGTATGCTATTGTTTTCTTAAAGAAATGGCTGCAGATTCTCAATGCCTCAATCATAGAGA